GATAGAGTTACAAATCCATTTCATTCATAAAAGATAATACCTACTTGAAAACAAAGGATTAGAAATGTAATTCTGGGAACCGATAACTAATAATGAAGATAGGACTTCAATTGGATTTCTCACGGGATAAAATGACGACTTTAAAAATGGTGTGGGGCGTATTGTATGTATTATATTATGGATTTTAGAGATATTTTTTTATATAATTTAGAGGACAAATAAGTATACAGCTCACCTAATGGCATGTGATGACCGCTGCCTATAGATACCTGAGAGAAAGAGAAATTTCAGGTGTGTTGCCGGCCTTTTAAGAAGTTCAGTTCTTACTTCTTCTTTTCTTGAAGGTTTCAATATCGTATCTAGATAGAAGTAGGAGAAAGCTCTTATAGATAAGTAATAGGAAATAACATCATTTACATGGGAAGAAGGACCCTAATTCAGCGGGTCGTCATCCCTGGGTTACGTAGAATGCGAAGATGAACACTGAGGATTACACTTTGGTGAAGAGGTGGAACACCGTGGGGTTATTTAACTCTCTGAAAGTTATCAGATGTATTGATTGTAAAAAATTCATTTGCATAGATACTTTTGAGTTTCTGTCGCCAAGTAACAAAGTTTACATAATTGTATTTTGGTTTAAGAAGTGGGATATGGCAGTCAAATTATAGGTTACGGAATTATTATACATATCTTATATCGAAGCAATAATTCGTTAGCCCTCAGGATGTGTAAAGCATGAGGTCATTATGAATACTACAGTGCAGTCTATAAAGCTCTTGGTGCGCTGTTCTTTTGAATAAATTATCGCTGTCATATTCAATCAGATGGGTGATTTTTTTATCGCTATTCCAAGTTCTTACTGATATTTTTCTTGTACCCATCTAGCATGTATTTCACTTAAAGCATTTGAATAAATGTTATTTTGTGATTAAATATTTGCTAGTGCAATAGCCAGCTAGTTTCTTTTACAAGTATTATTCTCGCACGCGAAACTTTCCTAATTACTAAAGATCAGAAAGATCTATGTTATATATTTTATATTGTTATGTACACATACATACACGTTTAATATAGTTCTCTCTCTACTTAATTAAAAAAAAATGTAATTGATTATAAATTATTGTAGTTGTTTATAAAGTGAATGTTTTTGAATTTAATACAAGATGCTGCACCAATAAAAAATATTGATGTTCATTGTTTATGGAAAGTTGGGTGGATAAAAACAAACATTGAATAAATTTCGAATCAGGGATAATTTTAGCATTTCTGTTCAAATATAAACTCAGTAAAACCTCCATAAACTTCATTTTTTTCTTCGATTATAAAGCGACATATAAGGTATATCCTTACTGTCGTATTCATAATAAACGTAATTAAAAAAGGGTGCTAAATAATTTTACTGTTCTGATGACCGTGTTAACGGAATTATACCATAAAGAGAAATTATTAATATACCTATATAGCAATTTTCATGTCAGCCGTTAAATAAACAGAGTAGGTAAATTATTTTTTTATCGAAATCATTTTTAAACGTTATTATCGTGTTATTAGTCCATATTATTTGTATAATAACAAGAACTTCATTTTTTTTAAAAATACGTAAGATTTTTTTTTATAAAAATACCGATAAAACATAGGAGCAGTGGTTAGCGCATCACTAGAGCGGTGCTTAACGGGTCCCAACGCTACATAGCTGGTTAACATAGGTACCGCTAAACGATACATCAAAGGTTAGGGCTTGTGTAATAGCTTATTAAAGCAAACGCTTACTATCTACTCTAGGAGACATTCAGATATATGTTTTCTTGCTCTTATTACTATGATAATAAAGTACAAAGTCGCGCGAAATTTATGATTGTGGTTGAGTTAGTGGTCGCGATTATACCATGTCGGTTGAATCGGAATTTAGGACTAACGGTGTCCCTTTACAGAGTATCTTAGTGGTACTCCATCGCTGGGTACTTGATTTATAGACGCATTTCCTAACCAAACTGATAAATGTGTTGTTCTTATTTATGATTAAGTACTGACGAGACTTGTTGAATTACAGAGTTGCGTCTGTGCTTGGAAAATTATATATTTAAAAATCGTGAATTATTTTATAAAAAACAATACACTTAGCAACTAGTCTTCATATTTACATTGTTAGATTATAAATAAATATTTAAACAGTTACTACAAGACGGCATTCATCACAGCTTATGGAGTAGCTTTTCTGAATCTTAGATTGCCATTCACTAGAAAAGTACCTAGTAATAGCATGAAGAGGGAGACTTTGTACAAAATTCAATTGCTTGGGTACCTCTATCCCATTCGTGTTTCAACCGTGAAGCAGTTGCATTTGCATGGCTGTGTTTCGGTTTGAAGGGTGGGATATGGCGTGAATTTACTGGGTACAGAGGAATAACCTGTGTCCTCAGGAATGGCAACGTATGGGGAGTATCATGGGCGAAAAAGTATACTCTGTTATGTCCATGGTACTTCTTATGTCTATAGGCGACGGTTACCACTTTCCATCAGGTGGGCCGTCAGCTTGTTTGCCATTCTAAGTTGTATAAAAAAAAAGAATCAAAAGTATTATTTATTAATGTTTGGATACTTGGTATGTGAAAGAGTTTCATGTGAATTGCTTTAAAAATTTGGATATAGATAGGGTTAGATTACTAGCTATTGCCCGTGTTTATACGTTATAAAAAACCTATGCTCCAAATTTCAGCTTACTAAACTTAGTAGTTTTTATTACTGATAAAATCGTTTGTCTTAATAGTCAGTACAAACGATTTAATCAGTATAGTTTAACGCGCGGTTTTCTTTTTAAACGTATTGTGTAGTAATGAAAATAAAAAAAGTTAATAATATACATTACTAGTTGACCCGGAAAGGGTTGTTCTGCCATATAATTTATGGATAGGGGCCTAATCACCTAGCGGTATAAAGTATACTTTACCTATACTTAAAAGGGGGAAAGGGATTGTTAGTAATGGAGACTGAGAATCCCATTGCTAGCAATATACCCAACCAAGTTGACCTCCTCACGGTTCCCTCTGGAAACTAGCATCGTTAATTCCTGATGAATTCCTCATGATGGGCTAACTGGCCTGTTTTCATTCTCATCTATCACCCTTCACTGGTGCTCCGCTAGCGTATTTCGTTAGCGCAGGCGGGCTTATCATACCATTTTCACCCATAAAAAAAAAATACTTAAAAAAGTCGTAAAAATCGGTAGAGCTGTTTTAGAAGGATGCGATCACAAACACCGTGATACGAGATTTCTATATATGTACATTTTAAATGCTTACAAGCGGAAAATTAAACGGTGAAAATGCGCAACAACCACCTAATGTATGCGTTGACGTGTCGCTTTAAAAGGTATAGCGTCATAGATATTTAAAAGGGTTTTCAATATATGATCCGTGAAGTGAACAGAGTTTATTTATTAATACATATGTATAAATATACACATATTTGTCATCTTTGTTCAAGGAGATTTTTTTGAATTTTTTTCCTCACAAAGAGTCATACGATGCAGACACAAACTAACTTTCACGTTTAAATTAATAGTAAAGATCTATATTCTTCGAATTTTTTTCACGAAATACCTGATACTAAGATGAAATGCGAACATTTATAAGCAGTGCTTGTTTCTTTGTTCGTCTCTAATTTTTAAGAAGCGATATTAAAAAAAGGGTTGCAATATTTTTAATAACATAAGAATACTGTCGCTTCTGGTAGAGAAATATATGTATATAATTATACATACATACATACATATCTGTCACGCCTGTCTCCCATTAGGGTAGGCAGAAACAATGGAACGCCAAATGCTTCGATTCAAACAAACCTCTTTTGCTTCTTCCACATTCATCAATCTTTTCATACACGCTCGCCGGTTACGGGTACTTTTAATTTGGCCCTTCTTCAGCACGTCGCCTATTTGATGATATATAGATGAATACACTGAGTATATAAAGATTTAAAAACATTACTTTAAAAAGGTGCCTTCTGTAGACTAATTTGTTATTAATTTGTTTGTTATGTCATCATGAAAAAATGGCTGTTGTTCAAATATTTACTTAATTAATTTTAATCAATCGCGTATACATTGGCCCATTTTTAAAATTAGTACATGTTTTATAAGAAATTTGTCTATACTTCAGACAGTGTAAAAATCCATTGTATGAAGTCGCATAGAACGTGCCCTACGTTCTATGCTATTGGCATATCATCATGGGCGGCAGTAGTCACTTACCATCAGGTGAGCCGCATGCTCGTTTACGCCCTGTGTTATAAAAAAACATCTTTCTTTAGGTGACATACACATAAAAAGATAATTTTTCAACCAAATTAAAAAAAGAAGGAGGTTCTCAATTCGGTTGCATTTTTTTATATTTATTGCCTAATAACTTCGTCAGTTATAAACCCATTTAAAAATATCTTTTTTTACCTGAAAGGAAGGACTTATAGATCCTAAAAAATTGGTCCTATAAAATTTTAACAAAATCGGTTCAATAGTTTAGTTAATATATCAAAATAATTGGTTTTGTAACAATTGAAGTCTTTTTTTTTGTAGAAGACAATCTTTAGAGGCTGCTTTAAATAATATATGAAAGGTATAATGCAAAATAGTTCCAATAGAATCTTTTAGAATTGCCATTTTAGAGCTGTGTGGTCTCATTTATTTCTGTAACCTTTTTATTTTTTAATTATAGATTTTATAGTTGTTTAAGTAAAAAGTTTGATTTATCATTTAAAGGATGGAGTGGAGGAACTCTTTCTATTTTTTGTTCGTATATTACTTGGAATCTTAGTCAACGCTAATACGATTTTGATAATTCTTTGAATATTATAATGGTAATAAACGCTTTCGTAACGAACAACGTAATTTCATTAAAATAAAAGTAGTTTTTTGTAAGTTTAGCTATTTTTTTAATGTGTATGTCTGGTAGGTATAATAATATTAAATAAAATAAATGATGATATAAAATAAATAAAAACACAAATTATAATTAATAATATTATATTATTAACATCTCTGTTATCCCCTAATATCTATGCCGTAATTACTTACAAGGAATAAAATTTAGGCTAACCTAGGGTGGGATCCTTTCTGGGCCTTTTATTAAGAAAAAGGATATTACTTTTGAGCTTCTAATGAATTGAATATTCATTATTAAATAATTCAGTCTTAATTGGCAACACTGAATTAAGCAATTAATTGTATAAATGAGAGTTTAACCTAAAAATTAAAAACAATACAGTTTAAGTTAAAAAACTTTAATAGTTTTATAGAGAGAGGAGCATAAGATAAGCGTTGCAACTTATTTACATTTCATCAAAGCTGAAGGTCATAACATGGTAACTGGAATTGTTGGAAGTTACGTATACAATTGAATCGAAACGTCAAAAGTTAAATATTCTATCACTAATATACGAGTTTTTCTATAAATAAAAACGGAAAATTTTTGAAGGTTTCTCAAAATAATGTACAACGAAAATAAAGAAAACCATTCAAAAAACCCTTTGCCTCTTTTTGCTTGTCATTATGTGATTTCTTAACCTACTTACGATGTCACTTCACTAACAAAAAATAATATAAAATGCCATCCTATCTGAATTTCACAGTCTTAAAAACAAAATTCAAAATCTTAAGACACATTTTTACATCAGCAAAGCTACATCTTAATTTTATACTTTAAATAATTTAAATAAAAATACAAATGCATGAAAGATGTTGCATTACTACGAGAGAATAATTATATCAGTCATATACTATAATCTAGTGAGTATTGAGACGATTGTATGGGACCATCGGATATTTTATAGAGAAAGCCCGAAAATCGAACGAAGTCCAAATTCGTGGAGAGAAGCAGCGACGTGTGCGAAGCAGTTGCCCATTATTTCCATACACATCTGAAAAGAAAGAAAATAAAATGAATACAAATGAAATTTGTTCGTAAATTAACTAAAGCTTATTTCGTATTAAAAAATGGCCTAGAGAAGGCCGTTAGGTGTTATTTTCGCAAAATGTACACTTATTCATATATTTGTGCATTAAATAAATAAATGTTACAAAGAAATGATCGAATATTTCAAATATAGTAAATACTTAATAATTTCGTAGTATATAACTTCTCTTATTATAATAAGTGGAAAATGTTTTCCAATTAGCTAAATGTTATCTGATTGGAAAAAATAGTTTAAAATATAGCTTAATGCGTCAATTAACCGAATAAAATGAAATATCTAACTATAAAGTATTCATAAAGTCACTGACAGTTATGCTACACAGGTTTTTATTCAATATTCAGATAGATAATGATTATTAACAGTCACTTTGGATATGACCTGTTTGGTTTTTCCCCGATTAAAATTATGCTTAAATAAAAATGTATTTTTTGATATAGTATTATTTGAATTGACGGAAAATGTTTGTAAAAGTATAAACATTTTAAAGGACTTCATCTTTATTATTCAGTTTTAGCTGATTTAATATATCCGTTTCACAAATACCTAATTCCTATTAAGCGCGTGATAAACTAGCAGTAACAATGATCTGATTGGTTTTTCCGTCAATTCAAATTATGCTCTATCAACAACTTATTGGTACTTCATCTTTATAACACAGTATTTCTGATTTCGTAGATCGCAATAATTAAATGAGTTGAGAAGTGGTTTGCAGATTTATTTAAATAGTTTTTACATATCTACGCTTTACACAAAAGTATCAAAATTAAACTGTGGATTATGTCTTTGTAAAATTTTCATACACCTCTTTATTAGTTTGTACTTAGTCTGGTTAAGTAGTTTAATTCCCTCTTTCTAATTACGTTTTTAATTAGTAGAGAGCAACTACACTCTATTGATTGCAACAATATAATTATTATAAACATGATTTCAAAGTTGGCAACATATATAAAATGCTGCAAATAATATATGAATAAAAAAGCGCCCAAAAAATTTACATTTCAAATCACTACCATGTACTTTATCATGTAGGTAGTATAGGTGGATTTACAAATTTAGAGACCTATTACTAGCATACTAATTATTATGCCTAAAAATTAATTTGAAAATTTGTTTGATATTACAAAACCATGATAAAAAGAAGATATGGCTCGATTATAGTAATGAAAACGTTTATCACCTTTTAAAATCTAGAGTACGATAAACTGTTTCACATTTACACGTTATCACACTGGCACGTTGACATAAGTATTTTTCTTGTTTAGTGAGCATATTGCTTTTAATAATACCCGATGTAAGATAATAGTGCATGGTCTAAACTTGACTGGTTTTTCAATGGTCAATATCTTGTCTTTGGTGCACATGTCGTCAGGTGGCCGTCCGTTTTACTTATTTCTTTTTATTTATGCAGGTTTGGTGGACTAGTTGAACTTATAACAGACGCAGTGAATATTGTATAATTTTTTAATTAATGTTTCAACACATAATTTGGACTATTTGAGAAAAATCTGCTTTTTGATCAGAATATTCTTATCCTATTCTTCTTACATTCTTATTATTTTATTTAACAATTTTAAGTAAGGAGGGTGTTTTCAATTTAGCCGTGTTTTTTTTATAAAACTCCATACAAAATAAATATAATTCTGTAAAAAGTACAAAATGATTCATTAAAACAAACTATTATTCAAAGTTTCAAATATTAATATGTTTATACCAAACCATGACTATGCGGCCCAATAAATAAGTACTCTCTTATATTCATTTTATACTCATCATATTCATTTAAATTCTTAATTTTTGTTTTAAATGGTAATAGAGATCCTACATCTTTATTTGCAATTAGTAGTTCTATAAATAATTTCTTAGAAACTCATTGGCTTGTGTAATATAAATTGTAACCTTACAATTTTAAAAGAGAGTATTAAAATATTTTTATATCATCTATTTTATGCAATGGTAAGACTGGCGTGTGTCTGCTGAATTTACAGTCTTAAGTAATGTATATTAAAAAGTATGTTTGAAAAAAATCGATAGGAACTTAGATTATATTTTTGGAGAACTCTATTAGTTAAATTTATCTAATGATTAGTTTTATATAATTTTTTGGCGAAGTGTATAAATCAATATATGTATAATAATATATATTCTAAAACTTCACCCATCATATTTTAAGGTTTTGCAAAAAAAATATATATATACGCCTATTTGTAAATCATATATTTAGTTTGACAAATGATTATACAATAGACGGTGAGTCTTTGACGTCTATTGACCACTTATTGTTCAACTGTACACGTAAAAAGATGTAACACGCAAAAAAATAAACGACCACCTAGAACAAACCAAGGAATCAATGCGTTCATCCATTTATTCCAAGGTTACCATTTTTTTGCGAAATGCTAACAAAATTTTTTAACAATTTTTCTTAATGTTGCAAAAAGTTGGTCGTTTGTTTCCGATTTCTTTTTTGTATTTGCGCAAGATGATTTTTACGGTATGGTCGCCATTGTTATTGTTTGTAAGGCATAATGCGAGGACTCTGAATACGACGAGCAAAGAAATAAACGGCTTCAAATATTAATAAAAGAGCCAGTTCGTTCGGTTTTATGGTTGTTAATGTAGTTGGTAACCGCTTGAAGTATATATTACGTTTACACCTTTAAGTGGTTGACATAAACTTGTGTTTAGGAGTTAACTATTACGGACATTGCTTAGAACTTAATTGGCTAGGAATCATAGGTACGCTCGTAAAATTATTTTTCAATAATGTGTTTTGATTGCTAGTACCTTAATAAATATATCTTGAAATAAGAACGTATTTAATAGAAATATTTCTTCTCGTATATGTTTTTAATGCTATAAATAAGTATTTTTTTTTTTGTTAGGAGTTACACCGAACACCAAATAAGTTAAAATTTTGTACCATAAGAATACACAGAATTCTTTTTTTCTCTCCATTTGTTACCATCTTCATTTTGTAAAGTTGTTTTTTTTTTTCACACAGTAACAACTTAAATTTATTTACCATTTTACTATTATATAAAATAGTAAAAAGGATCATTTATTCACACACACGTCGATAGCCATTCCTGAGAACTGATGTGTCATATCTATTTATGGTCACAGCTTTTACTACCCAACAACAACAGTAATAGACTAAGATGGTTGTTAAATTGTAATGAAGTCTAACAGCCCTATTACTAGTAATATATCTTCTCAGGTTGACCTCCACGCAGTTACTGCTGGAAACCATCGTGATTAATTCTTGCGTAGAATTCTTCATAATGGGCTTGCTGCTCTGCATTTGTCCTCACATTTTTTTCACTAGATTGTCATTTTCTATCAGATGGGCGTAGGCGTCGGGTGGGTCAGCTTATTTGCCATTCTAAGTTACATAAAAAAGCGCCCCGCCAGCGTATACCGATAATGTAAGGATAGCCCCCTTATTTCATTTTGACGTATATAAACATTTTAATAACAAATATGTGCATAACATAAACTATAAAATATATTTAACATTAGTCACAAGACTTATTGTGGGTACAAATGCTATGTTTTTACAAACACATCCAATTATTATGTTCCGATAAAGACACTAATTATAATAGAAGCTCACTATGTATATCTCATATGCTCTAAGGCAAAAAACTAGACCATATTTGCCGCCACTTGCCCTAGTACACACCGGCGTACTAGTCATCCTTGGATCGGAGCAGGCTGCACGCACCTGTCATTGTTCAATTAAACCTGGCGACACATTGCCTTAAATAATCCTTCAAATTGAACACATGCGTCTGCTATGTATGAAACCTTTTTATTTTACAAGCCTTTATGAATTCGTGTTTCATGCTAGTCGATAACAGGTGGCGTTAAGTGTGCTACCTAGTGTGACTTTGATAATTCTATTTTTATTTTACACTTTTCTAAATTAAAATCTAGGTTGGTGCTTGGCCAATTAATAAGTAAATTATTACGAGTGATCAAAGAAGCATCAGTATGTTTCTATCGTCATCTTGCGATTGCTCGGATCGTCAATTAGAACACTTGTTACTAGGAGAGCAGAAGTAATATAGAGCCAATGGTTCCATAGTTTCTCAGTTTGCCTTCTAATTGGTGCTGAAGACTGAGTATCGGTGTAAGTCTTAAGAAAGGACTTGCAAGAGTTACTTTATGCTTTAGTGTTTTAATTTTTGTGTAAAATTGTGATATTGAGGGTTTATTTATTTCAAGTCCTCTTGTTTTTGTTTTGCAATGTTCTTTGGCATTTTCATTGATGATCTAATTGTCTATATATACAAAAAGGGATTTAGTCTTTGCAATACTTTGAAAATACCTAATGGCAGATTCGAAATATATACGGAAGTTTAATAATAAATGAAGATCAAGAAAAGCGAGTTATCTTCAGCTTATTACGGGGAGACGAGATACCAGGCTAGCAGAGATTACGAGAGGCCAACTTATGACGTACCTAGTTTTCAATGTAGTTATACACAGAGATTCAATATGTGAGTACGTTTAGAGGTGTGTGTGGACGTGACTACGTCACAATCATAATACTGACGACATTTTGACGTAGCTTGTATCCTTCAATGTTTCTTCTTTATTCTTATGTATGTAAGTAATTATTTGGAATTATAATCTTAACTTTGTCTATAAAGAAAATAAAGGAAATGGTGAATATTGTAATTTTTTCGTGATTTATACGTTTTACAATTTGAAAATTATTTTATTAAAACGTTGTGAGCCGCGTCGGCAAGTGGCGTAAAGCGACTTTTTTCTAATTTGTAAGGTTGACGATCTCGTGTTCACACGGGGGCGCGCCTCGTACGGCCGTGTTCGTTGCCTCTAAGAAGTGCCTATGCGGAAACACAACTTTGCTATTAACACGCGTACCTTTGCTATGAGATACTGCCACTTAGTATGTACATAGCTGAGTATGTATGCGT